TATGATCAAATCTATAGTTAATCGTTGTTATAATTGTAGGGAACCCTATGGAATTGATCAGGAAATATCAAGTACTCAATGACTAACTGCTGCTAAGCCCTTTTGTGCCCTTATTTTTGCATCTGTATCCTTTGCACCCTTACCCCCTGGAGCATTCCTAGTTTCCATGTAAATCAATTCAAACTGKTTCTAATTTGATCTTCCTTTATATGCTTTAATCTTTGTAGTAAGTARTAGAGTGAACCTTGTCATCAAACTATGTAAAGTTGTGTTTTCACAACTCCATATTAAACCCTGCTTTCACCTATGTCTTTGATAGTGTTTCTTTAGGCAGCCAAACCACTCATAAGAATCAACATATTTTAAATAGTTCATAGCAAGGCCGGTGTCCAACCACAAAGCAGGAAACTATTGTGGAATGGTAGGTGATTTGCTAAACAGAGCTGCAGCTGATAGAGGGGGATGTCTGCAGTGCCCTGTGATTGATAGGGAATAGCAGCTGCAAACAGTCCTGATAACACAGGGGGAAACAAATGGCTGGGAGGGAATAGTCTGAGATGCAGTTAGATCCCCTTGCTAGCAATCTGCAGCTGTACAAAGCCATGGGTTTGTTAAATTTATTTTTGCAGTTTCTGCAGAACAAAGGAGAAAATGAGAGAGCACATAAATACAGATTATGCATTTTGTTGTTGGTAACTGCTATTTTTTAGTAATACTGGGACAAAAATGTGTTGGCTCAATGTATCAAGCCAACCAAGCAATTCTCTGCATATCTACCATTTATTTCACATATGTATTACTACCAGCACTTCAAGTCATTAATTAAGCAGAGTTCTCTTGTGCGTAGATTTTGCTGGCAGGTTAATTATGGTTACCAGGCTACTGAATCAATAAATGAATGAGGRAAACAGATTGAATACCTAGAAAAAGTTGTGTAAAATTAGAAAAGGAACCGAGGGGCTATGCTAAGGCAGTTTAAGGACAGTTGCCACAAATTTGAATTTAAGCAAAAACATGAATTAATTTCAAGATCTGTTTGGAAAAAAAAAATATTTTTTAAATGCTAATTGCATGGAATTATAGAATAAGAATAATTAGGTTATGCTTTTCTTTCCCAGGTATTGGTACTGTTTATAGATGTATTCCCTTTTTATGCACTTATCTTAGTCTGCAAGAGTTGTGTCTGTTCTGTGGAATCTTTTCCCCCACCTGGATTTGCAGGGATATTGAATACGATAATATATTTGCTTCTCTTCTGCAAAAAAAAAAATGCATCTAACTAAGAATTAGTTAGCTCAGAGCCAAGACCTTCCTTTTTGTGTTTGATCTGCTACTCATATCCTGTCTCAGTGACAGGATTTTTTTTATATTCGCCAGTGGGATAAATATAAAGTAAATGATTTCCAATATTTTTGTTGTGCTASAATAAATTTTTTWWAAAAACTAATAATTAGCCCTAAAATTGGTGCCTCARTTCAGTCACTGTAGGGAAATGCTTCACTGGTTACTAGCAGAAAAGGCACCATTTGRAAGGAAGGGCATTGCTCAGAAAGGCTTTTGTTTCTTCATTCTTGTTGCCTGTGAGGAACTTTTAGATGTGATGTCTTGATGTAATACTTCCTTGGCACAGGTGGAGCTGAGGGGTMTTAACTTTTGCCATAATTTCAGACACTGCTGGATTGAATGCATGCTGCTCCAAAYAACTTGGGAAGCAGTTACAGACACTGGCGTTGAGTTCCCCCTTCTGCACAATAAAACTGATGATTTTTTGGTTATGTGTCCATGTCCATGCCCTAGTTCACTGAATGACACTGGAGTTATATGAGAAAGGAATCTAATAGATGGAAAAGGTAGAAATTTGGCAGACGGAGCTATTCCTGAGGAGTGGAGCTTAACGCAGAATATTCAGATTGGAAAGGTGGTACTTTGTGGTGATGCCAAGGGGTGCAGATTCACACACTAAGCTGGGGAACTGCAGGGTACTTGCACCCTTGTCCTCTTAGCATACTCTCCTAATAATTGAAGTATTAAATGATACAGTGGGGCTTTCCAGCTGACTTAGGTGGCCAGGAGCACAGGCCTCCTCTGCTTCCAGTTGTGCTGGTTGAAAAAGCTACAGCTCTCAGTTGCATATCAGAATGTGTTTTTTCCTGGAGGTGTTGGTCCTCCTGACCCACCAGAGCTCAGTGAGCTGCTGCAACAACCTTAGTTTGTCTCAATTCACAGGGTTGACTAAAAGCCCTTAGAAAATGTCTTTGGWGACTTAGTTCTTTCTGATGTACATAAACTAGAATGTACTTCTGTGTGCAGCCTGGCAAATTTGAGAGGTCTGCAATAATGGGATGGTACCCTTTGGGCCAGAAGAGATAGTAAGAGCGAGACCTTTGGTGTTCTGACTGACCACTTAAGTTATTCTTCACTCTATAAGCCCCACCATCCCCTTTGGTCACCCTGGAACGTAACTTGCTTTTGACCCATCTGTGACCCTTAGCACCTTATGCCTCTGTGTCACTTTCCACCTTTCAATTTTTTTTTCCATTCATTTAAATTGAAAACTTCTCAGAAGAATGTGTTTCTGTTTTCAGGATGCCAAGCCAAGCAAAACAAAGCTGAAATCTTGTTCAGGTCCTTTAGTTTCTGYTGAAATAATTAATGAGGTTTCATGTGAGCTGTTGCAAAGTGCCTAGAGACTATTAGATTTGCCTACACAGTTGCCATGGTGCACCCTGGCCAAATAGTTGTTTGTAAAGCAATTTTGTCTCTAATATAAAAGCACTGTATAAAATCAGTTCCTATTATTTTTCATAGAGAATTTTCAATCCAAACCGTAAGCTTAGAATTGCTGACTATCTCCTTAAACACCYCCAGATAATAATGATATATATTCTTCCAGCTAACATATATCATTACTTTTTATCAAGCAAAGCTTAGTTCATAGCTGTAGAAATATTATGATCTACTGGCCTCCAGCCAATCTGTTAATTACCTGCYAGTTCCTTAATGCATCTGGGGCTTTGTTTGATTTCAGTGTAAGTTATTAACTTGCCGGTAAAGGATCAGTGCCTCATAAGTTGTTTCTCTAAATAACTTTACAGTGCTACAGAAGTTTAATTTTTACATTTTTTTTTTCTTATAAATAAGAATAAATATGTGGGGGACAGCTTTAAGTTCCAGTTATATAAGGCAATTCTTTTGATTTGAGAAATCAAATAGTAGTCTCATATCCATGTGAAAAACATCCAAGTGTCTTAGACCTGTTACTTAGGCACCTTCATGTTTTTGGGAGAATCTCAATAGTTTTGTATGTACCAGACTGATTGAAGGCTGATTTGTTTTATAATACTTAGTGTGGTTTGGGTTTTTTGTCATGTTGTTTTAAAATTGCAAGATCAAATGAAGAGATCTTAGACCTGGCTTCAYTTGTGGTAAGACCGTTGACAGAATTTACAATAGTTATGTCTATGTTAAAGTAGTTGAGACAGAAGATAGACTTTCATTTCTTTTTCAGCATCTCGTCTCATTCTCTTTCTTTATTTTCCTTATTTTTAAAAGATATTTTTCCTAAAAAGCCTCAGGCAAGGTCACATGATACTGCACAGTAGCTATTAATAATAGATTGGTGGGAATTCATCACCCACATAAGATAGAATGCCTTATAGATGAGAGCAGCTGTAGAGGTGAAGTCTGCTGTCCCTGTTTGTATAGGCTGGTGAAGCAGGGGGAGAAGTGGATTTCCCACCTAATGTACACCACAAGGAAAGATACAGGTTTGTATCATTACTGAGGGGTGGTTCTGACTGAAAAATGAACACCAAAGGAAAGAGGCTTTAGCTGAAAACTGGATTCTTAGAGGCAAAAAGTGCCTGATCTGGTTGTTTGTCCTTTTTTTTTTCCTTGTTTCTCCTCTTCCCRTCCGTCCCGTCTCCCCCCACCCCCTCCCCGGGCCCTGTGACTTTCAGCCCTTTCAGGATTGCCAGTCAGTCTCTCTGTGCCTGAAAAGGAACACTCTGCCCCGGTGTGGAAGCACAGCTTTTTTAATCCTGTGTGCTATGGTTATCTAACTTATGCATCTCAGAGCAAAACTGATAAAGACTGCTAAAACAAGATGGTCAATTTCAGTCTTTAATAGCTTATCAGGTTTTAAAAGTCTCATGAAAGAGCTGTGTGTTAGTTAAATGATGATTAACAGGGAAGCTTATGAATAAAATATACAAATTTATGTTTGATTTTGTAATAATAGTGTTAGACTTGACTCTTTTCTCTGACTTAAGTCCATATGAACAAAGGGATCACAAGAGAACAGCATGTCTCTGCTTGTTTAAATCAACTGGAATTAGTGGCACATGCCCTTTGTGGTCCCCAAGTTAGGTGAAAGCACTGAAAATTATTGTGGTTTTCTACCAGGATAGTCCAAGATTTAAAGCTAAGACCTAACACACCTACTTTATATCAGAAGATTCAAACAGTCTGTGGAACAATATAGAAACTTTATTAAAGTTCCCATTTTTGTGTCGTAGGAGGGGGAAAAAAGAGAAAAAGGGTATTGTCATGATTAGCTCTTTGTTATTTTTTTTTCCCAGTTGTTTTGCTCTGGCTGGCTGTAGAGCCATAATAGGGAACTTTCTGCCTGGGTGAGAAGATAGTTGTGTTTACAGTGCAAGTTCCCACTTGTGGCAAGGTGGAGGAGCCACCTGTAGATGGAGGGTGGGCCCTTTCAGGTTTGGAATTCTTGCTTGTAGCTTATGCTGGCTGGCATCAGGTTCAGATAGAAATAAGCTATTTGCAAGTACAGGGGCAGTCAGATGAAGATTRGCACTAGTCTGATAAAAAATTTCAAATTTTTGTTTAGAGAAACAGGGAAAGTAGTCAAGTACAGGAAGCTAAAAGCCATACAAGATTATTGCCTATGCCACTATGAACAATAAAGTTTACACAATGCTGTGAGCTGGTTGTGGGTTTTTATAATGCAAATGCCCTGATGTTCTCTTTCTTCCTTGCAGCTGCCCTGAGAGCTTGTGCTGATGGAGGTGCCAATCGTCTCTACCACATGACGGAAGGGAGCCGGGAAAGGTGTGTGAGAAGTACACTTGAAGCCATTGAAATCATCTTTACTGCATGAAAGTAAAATGTGGAGGAGCAGGATCTGTTCAGTTACTTAAGCCTGCTCTGTGCATGGTACTYTAATGAACTGTAGCAGGTAGTATAATATTTTCTCCACATTATCTTAAATTTTTATTCCCAGCTACAATTTTTAAGAACATAGGCAGCCTGAAATACCATTTTCCCTGAAACCCACTGGTCTTTTTTTCTCTTGAAAGCCCTGCTCTCAGTCTGTCTTATTTTRTGTATCCATCAGAGATAGGCCTCTGAAAAAACTTGCTGTGCCCCTAGCAAACGTTGCCTAGAGGAATATCCAATGCCTGTCCCCACAAGTTAAAACTAAGTATATTCTCTTCATTTTTCACATGAGGCCTTAGAGGAAATCTGCTTGTTTTGTGAAATARGATGGGTAGTAAAATACGAAGCCTTCTTTTTGAATTATTTCTCAATTAACATCAGGGCATCATAAATGACCAAAGACAAGTGCAGAGACTGTCTATAAATTTGTACACTAGGTGAGGAAATATGACTGAAAGAATATGTTCTTGTTTTCTGCAATGACATTTGAAATTGAAAAATATCCCAGGTTTCTGCACCAGAAGTGTTGAGCTGGGGTTGTGATGCAAAATACTGCACTCAAGTGTTTTTTCTTATATTTTTTAGTAGAACCATGGAATGCTGTGCAAATTTAGCTTACTAAGGATTCTTTTTGCTTGTCTTTAGGATCTTTGAGCAAGGATTCATAAATAAATAGTTTCATAAAAGCAAATTGATAAAACCAACTCTCAGAGGGAAGGAATGAGGAAGGGATCTGGTAGAACTTACAACCTTATGAACATTTTTATTCATACAGCAAAATCTGTCCATTTATTTTTCATCTCATRGCAGTGTATAATGGAGACATGGGGAAGCTCAGTTTCCTCCTCTCCTTCAAATAAAGACTAGAATAAGACAGGAAGACTGTAGTCTAAAAGTAAAAATTAACTAAAAAGTTCTTAGTTTGAGAAGTTTATCTGAAGTTCTACAGCTGCTAAAACTGAGACTGCAGTCTGGGAAGCACTGCTGTTGTAGAGAATGTTCTATAACATTCTAATTCTCCTTTTCTGGTAGTTGCTCACAGAGCCATGAAAAACTTAAGCAGGTGTCTGAATTCAAGATTGACTTGCAGCAAACAATTCTCTTTGATAATCACGATGCTCTCCAAAGAACAACATTTGAGAGCTTTTGCTTTACCTTCTCTGGTAACCCATTCATCTGTTCTGCATACCTTGATGTTTGTATTAAATAAATATAATTCAGGGGAAAATGGATGATTATAYTTTGACTTAATAGTTCTTTCAATCTTACATTCGTAGCCCTTGGAGTATTCTTTTCCTTTATCTTTCTTCTTCTCATCTTAATTGCTTTGGGTAGGTATATTTTACCTTCAAAGTAGTTCTTTACCAAAAAAAAAAATAAAAAAAAAAATAGAATATGCATAGTTTGGATTTTTGTCTTTAAAGAAATAATTCTGCTAGAAAGACCACTTCTCTGAAGTATTTTTCTTTAAATTCCCTGTCCATTGTTATTAAAGAGCTGTCTGCTCAGACTCTACTGACATGCTAATCATTTTTTAATGCTGTCTTAACCTTCTTTTAAAACTGCCTTATTCAAAGCCCTAATACCTAATGGTGTTGGATCAAAACCTAAAAACTATGGTCCTTTAGTTTTTAGAGAGATATAAATAAAGAATCTGATYGATATTTTGAGCTTGATTCTCAGTGACATTAAAGTTAATGAAGAATCATTTAGAATGGGAATAAATTATAATATTTTGGGAAAAGAACAGCTTTCAATATGGGACAATTGCAGAGGTGTCTTCCTTTGGAAATCAATTCATAYTACAGAATCACAGAACAGGTAAAGTTGGAAGGGACCATAGTGRGTTGAAGTAGCCCTTCTTGTTGTCCTTGACAGCCTCAGCCAGCTTTATTTCCAGATGGGCCTTAACTGTCCTCATCTCATTTATACTTACTTGGCAACCTCTCTATTCATTCAGTGTCCTGACACTGATTCCATTTCCTGCTTACACCTGTGTAATGACAGGAATACCTTGTCCATGCATACAGGCCTCTTTCCCCTTGGCCTGATTTCTTTCTCATTGGGATGCAAAGTTCTTGAACTGGAAGAAGTGATCCTGAAATGTCAACCAGCTCTCTTGGACCCCTATTTCCTGCAGGCCTTGTTCCCATGGGATCCTTCCAAGAAGATTCCCGAAGAGACTAAAGTTAGCTCTTCTGAAGTTCATTATTGCAATCTTATTCACTGCACTGCTTCCTCCTTCCCAGCACTGAGCTCCATAGTCTCATGGTCACTAGAGCCAAAGCTGTCCCCAGCATTCACAGGGTCAAGCAGCACACCCATTCCTTGTGGCATCCTCCACTTCTTGTGTYRGCAAGTARTCATCAGTGCTTTCCASGAACCTCCTGGACTGTTTATGCTTCACTSTGTTGTTTCTCCAGCAGATGTCAGGGTAGTTAAAGTCCCCCACAGGAACCAGCMCCTGTGACTTGGAGGCTGTTTCAAGCTGCCTGAAGAAAGCCTCATCAACCTCCTCCTCCTCCTGCTCAGGTGGCCTGTAGCAAACACCCACAACAGTGTCACCCTTACCAGTCTGTCCTTTTATCCAAACCTGTAAGCCCTCAGCTTACTTGTCATCCTCACCAAGACAGAGCTCAACACATTCCAAGTGTTGCCTCACTCATGGAGGACAACTCCACTATCACACCTTCCTGGTCTGTCTCTCCTAAATAGTGTGTAGCCCTTCATRACAACATTCTGGTCATGGGAGCTATCACACAGTGTCTCCATAATTGCAGCGAGATCTGTGACTGCACAGAGATCTCTGGTTCCTCCTGTTTGTTCTCCATACTGCATGTGTTGGCATACAGGCACTTTATAGAGGTATTTGTTAGTGTCAGTATCCCAGAAGGGGTGCAGAGGGATGACCCTTGAAGAGTGATAATCTTGTCTTGTGGTTATGTCTTTGGGTGCTTGGGCTTAATCATGGTATGCCCTCTTAAGCCCTCCTTTTGCTGCTAATGTGGTTGCTATAGTTCTCCCCTTCCCACACCTTATCTTTGTCAAGCCTAGCTATGCCCCCATCCACCTTCAAATCTTATTTAAAGTTCTCTCAATGAGCCCAGTTAACTTCYTAGCTATGATTCTTTTTCCCCCTCTGTGAGACAGGTGAACCCCATTTGTTGCTAATGGGGTCAGTCTCATATAAACAACACATGATCAAAACCCCCAAAAATATTGCTGCTAACATGAGTCTCAAAGCCAGACCTTCATGATTTTCCAGCCCCARCAATCCCTGCAAGTGGCAGGATAGGAGAGAACACAACTTGTGCTCCAGGTCCCTTGAACAGTTGYTCTAAGGCCCTAAGGTTCTTCGTTGTTGTCCGCAGCCTTCTTGTTGGGAYTTCATCAATATCCTTTCAGAAAACCAGTCATAGGTAATAATCAGTGGGCCATAGCAGATTGTGGAATTTCTTGGTGATATCTCTTATCTGGTCTCCAGGAAGGTAACACATCTCCTGTGGGTTGCGTCCAGTCAGCAGTGAAGTAGTTGGGGCTATTTTGAATGATCCATTTCCAAATTCTAGAAAAATACAACTAAAAAATTACCTCTAGATCCATCCTACTTTCCCTCTGCTTCAAGGTGGAGACAGGGCTATCTGTTCTACTCCTGATACATAACTAGTTATCTGGTTCTTAAAACTCTTCAAGTGAGAGCTCTGTCTGCCTTCCCAGCCCTGCATGCAGCTTACTCTGCTTTGGACTAAAACATGCTGAGCTTGTTTATTGGTCATCTTTTCTTACTGGGCTCTTTTCAGCTAGTTCTAAAGGTGCTGTGGCTGAAACCAGGCAAGATGCTCTGCAGGAGACATCCTCGATGCCAAACAATTCTTTAACTTGCTTTTCAATGTGTTGACCTRTGCTGATGGATGAAAAGCAGCAAARGGTGAWTCAAGARCCCCCTGCCTCCATCTGTTTCCTGTTTTCTCCACTGATGCCTTGACTCACTTTTGTGCTTGACTCATCAAGCCAAGGAAGTATTCACCTTTCTCTCTATAGCACTGCACAGGCTGGCATAGCAATGAGACTTCAGGTCATGAGATAAACATACGTAAGATGTTGTATATCTTCATCTGTGTTTGTGATGTCATTTTTATGATGTTTGGTTGGTTTTCCCATTTTCTCAATAAATCTGAGTTGCAATTACTTTTGTTTAAAAACAAACCAATACAAGAAAACCTTCATTTTTGTAAGAACTAACAAGGAGAAACCATGCTGKTTTTTTTCAATTATGTGTTAAAACAAATTGCCTTCTAGAGGATGAGGGTTAAGAAGAGTAACCAAAAAGTCAGGATAACTTTTCCTTAAAGAGACTGATGCTTGGGAGCCGGTCAGGTGCTTGGGGATACAGGAAAGTGAAAAAGGGCTGAATGCTGGTGCTTTTCTCTTTCTGACWCTACAGTCCAGAAAGGTTATTTTCCTTAGGCTATTCCCACTTAGAAATAAGGATTACTGCTAAACCATTCTCGATTGCTAAACATTTGCAGCTAATCAGAGTTAAAGGTGAATTACTGATCTTTCTGYGATTTTTGCTCTGCCTTATTCTGCCTGCCTTGCCTATCCAATTTTGAATTTTCTCAAATCGTTGAGAAGCACTGCTTTGCACTTCAGCATTAAGCTGTTGCTTATCTGTATCACACTACAGAACTTGTTCCTCAACACTTTCTGATTAAATCTTAAGGCATTGATAAACCTGGGTATCATTAGCTTTGGAGAATACAAAGGTGAAAATGGACAGAAAACTATCAGCATATTGGAGTCTTTAAAACCAATCATTAGTACTTGTGTCGTGGATGCTGTTTTCCAGAGGGATGTCAAATTCATTGTGTACTCAGGTTTTGCAGTRTTAG